AAATTAATTTGTATTTGTATATTAATAAATTATTTTCTTTTATTAGGCTCAATATCGCAAATTATTAGTCAAAAATCGGGTTGAAGCATATGATTTGGCACATGAACTAAATTCTGATACAATTCCACCTGTGACGATTATGGATGCTATCAATTTTGTTGATCGCGCATAGAGTGCAGTTACACAAGAAATAATTAAAAATTGTTGGAAAAAAACAGGAATTTTATCTTCTTTACGTGACATATCCGATGTTTCCAATGCTGCTGAAACACATTTGGTAATGAATTCTGAACGCGAACATGAAGATGTTCAATGATTGATTTGGCGATTGCCATTTGATGAACCAATGGCAGCAGATGAATATATTGGTATCGATCATGCTCTAATTGATGATAATGTGGAGCTAACTGATGACGATATTATTGCAAGTATCCGGCCACCAGAGACTAAAGACCAGTACAATTCTGATGAGGAAAACCTTCCTGTTATTCCACCAATTAAAGTATTGGAGTCTCTGGAACATGTACTTATGTTTTTACGAAACCCCCCAGATGACTTCGAAATTGAAGAAAAAAGTATATCCGGAGTAAAGAGTCTTAAACGGGCAATTTTTGGGTACCATTTAAAAACCAAATTGCAAGGTAATTTGGATAATTTTGTTATTCGAAACTCAAAATAAAGTTATATATTAAGTTGGTAGTTGGGTTGTTCGTTATTAGCACGTGACTTTTAATAAAATCGGGGTACAAGTTTTTATATACCGATTTTCCCGTGACTTTATTATAAACATCGGTTTACAATATATACCGATCTCTTGTTATACCGATACATCAGGCCAAAAACATTTACATCGGTATATAGAGGGTTGACTGTATTAAAGTGGCAAGTAATTTCATATGCAATATAACTGATACAAAACTTGAGCACATTTTTTCAATTAAACGTTGTTTATCATTTTAATAAAAGAACCAACCAAAACTTGGGGGATAAATTAGTAAAACCGCCACGAAAAAGGGGTAAATTAATTAAATGCTATTAATATTCATATCGCGATTTGATTGGTTTACCCTTAAAAATCACAGGAGCTGCCCTTTTTATTTGGTTCACTTCGTTACTAGTAATTATCTGACCTGTTTCTTTTCCCAACATAACAATGAAAGTAATAAGGCGAAGAAAAGATTTAAGAAATGCAAGTGTCGAACGTCATCATATAAAGTGAGTATATTGCTGAATTATTATGTATCTGAAGTTACGCTGCTGCCACAGCTTTTACCTTTTGGGTCCCGTGGTGAATAGGGATACATGATAAAATATTGATGCCATGGCTTACTCCTGGGCTATTTTATCTTGATAATTATGACGCAAATACTGATGTTTCTATTAATTAGATTAGCTCCTGGAGACGGTTGTGAAGGAGTCCGACAATTTAACCAAACTCGTCAGCGCTATCTACAGCAACTAGAAGCAGCAATTGAGAATTATCCATGTTGTCCAAGAGAAGAGTTTACAATCCGTGCCGAGATGTATCTCAAGAATTCAAAATTTTCAATGGTAAATATCTTTTTCTAAAATTATTTATTTCCAAAAAATAAAAATAAATTATAATTTATATGTTTAGGAGTTCTTTCGCGGTAGGCCGACAATGTTATTGGAAGAGAAAAAAATCTTAACGACGAAAACCCTTTTCGTGAGGAGCCAATAACGACGAAAGCCCTTTTCTCTTCATAACGACGAAAACTCTTTTTCGTGGTAGGAGCCAATAACCCTTTTCTCTTCTTAACGACGAAAGCCCTTTACTCTTCATAACGAACCCTTTTCGTTATTGGCTCTTCACGAAAAGGGTTTTCGTCGTTATGAAAAGGTTTTTCGATAACGAAAAACCTTTTCTCTTTTTAACGACGAAAACTCTTTTCGTGAGGAGCCAATAGCGAAAAACCTTTTCGACGAAAACCCTTTCTCTTGAGGAGGAGCCAATATAACGAAAAACTTTTTCTCATGAGGGGGAGTCAAGGGAAATCAGTCGGCATGGTCTTAATACCGTTTTTAACATTCTCTAAGAAGTTCCAGTTCCTATCAAATCACATCAAAAGTTTACATCCTATAATGCAAATCCAAATATCGAACAAAATTTATTAAAAAAATGCTCGTTATTCTTATTGATCGTTTGGAATAGATTTCACACTTATTTTTTTTTAAAAATAAGTAAGTTCACATAAAACGTAGCTTTCCATCATTTTTTCATGTATTCTATTTACCATGGTGCGCTTTCAATTCTCTTAGTTGCAGCGTAACTTTGGATACATAATAACCCAATGATATCTCTCCTTACACGATGACATTTTAAAACCAGAAGTATTCATTCTGATTATTATTAAAAGCAGAAAAAATAACATCTTTTTCATGATTGCTACTTACTAGTATCGGAGATTTCTTTTTGAGTGGTGTAACAAATTTTAAACTATTGATGCATATTTATGACACTTCCATTCCAGATTTGTATCTTTTATGGAATCCTTGACATAACGATAAAAAGAGTTTTCGATGATGTATTGATGATGTGTGATACGCGCAAATATCAAATTCCTTAAGAAAAACAAATTGGTTGGTTCGCAAAACCCATCTTGCCAAATATTTGAAAGAAATTAATTGTTCTGTAGTTGAAAAAAGGAATCAAACATTTCACATTATCTATACATGTGCATGCATACTCACACTGTCATACTGCATCAATCGAAACTTTGGGAAATTTACGGCCGTTTTTGCCAAGTTGAACACCAACTTTATCTCTTCCCTCGATAAAAACTTTATAAACCCTTGTTGTTTCGCAACAAAACAAATACCTTCCTTTCACAAAATAAAAAATATTGATATAAATATATATCTCACATCTAATCATCTTGCACCATCCTAACGCTTGATTAATATTTTTTCGCTTGAATATTAATTACTTATATTCTACAAAATGAAGTCTTATACACTATCCGCGTTCTTCACTGCATTCTTTTTGGCACTTGCGCAGAGCGCTCAAGGTAATAATAATAATAGCTAACATACTTTTAAGACAATGGGATGAGTTAAAACTGTACTATCTACCGAGATTAATTTGCCTAAATGGTATCAATTTAATTTTATAAGCCCAACTCCCCAACTTCAATTATTCCCTCACTTCGAAACCCGAGGCAGATAGGCAGAATCTCTGCGACCAAAATAAAGGCTACTGTGTTACTAATTGTGGTGGTCTTGATAAGGTAGAATATGATTAAACGAAACGCTTTAATCTACAAGAAGGGAATACTAAACTTTTTTTTTTAAATTTATAGGCTCCCATGGTTGGTATTTCTGTAAATTTCGCTATGTTTTTATATACATGAAAAGATTCCTTGTTTCAATATTCTTCGTACATTAAAAAATTTTAGAATTTCTGTAATTATACAACAATGGGTTGGGGTTGCGGATGCACTGACAAAGTTCCGGATTATCAAGGTAAATGAAATAAATGAACGAGAATCTAATGCTTTGATCATGTTAACAAACTCAATATTCTCTTTTGTGACACAAAGCATACCAGTGGCCAATCAATTACCAAGATTGTCTTGGACGTGGTGCGGTTAGTAGTATGAATAACATGTAGTAATTGTTTTTGACTACAGTTTATTTCACTGTGTGCCCATATTACTTGACCTTTATTCAACCTATACATGTATTATGTTTCTCATGTAGGCGTGCACAAGTGCATGTCAAAGTGATCAGGTAAGATGATCTTCTAAATTTCTTAACCATGTTAATGTAACGATAATATTATTTACCTTTTTTTTATTTTTTAGGTCCCAACTGATCAAAAAAGTGCATGTAATAGCGCCTGTGTAGCCAATCTCACTTCAAAGTAATTAATTAATTGATCGTTATCTACTGATCATTCATCATTATCACAGCATGAAATTATGAAACTAACGACCTATTTATACATAAAATTTTAAAAAAGATGCGGGACACCAGACCAACCACCAGCCTATTACAAGGTAAACAATATCAATCAAATACCCACCTACGGACCAAACACGACCAATGGCTCAAACGGCGGTAATAACAGCACTGGAAATGGCAGTTCGACAAATGGCACAACAGGATCAAGTAATTCAGCTGTACCTATTGGGTCGACATTATCTTCATCTTTGGGATCCGCTGTTTTGGCACTTACGGTCGTTGCTGGTGTGATGCTACTTTAGTTTACTGGGACTAAGCGGCTGATTAGCGATCCTTATTACATTATAATGTTCCTGGGACATTCTTCATTACAATCATTAGACTTCATTTCGAGGAAAGAGATTAATTGCTAGTTCTTTTATTAGGGTAGAATATACAGTTTTTAATCATTCGGGAGCTCCTTTTTTTGTCTGTGGAAATAGATTTTCCTTTTTGATACATTCGTTATTATCCCCTCGTCTTTTACAACTAAAAATTTAATCCGTCACCATAATGCGTAGGGATAAATTGTATTTATCCTTATCCTAGAATTCTATCAATAACCTTCATTAGCATTAACATTCACAATAATCTTAATATAATAATGTTACAACTGTTTCAATATTAAATCAGAGATTTGAAATAGTCCAATTTAATTTTAAAATTCAATAACTTACACAGATATCGATATCGATATCGATATATTAGAAAATTGTGAATCTATCTGTAATGGTCATTAGCATTGCATAAAATTTGAAGAAATTTCACGTGTAATAAAAAACTTATAAACGAACCAAAGGTCTGTGCGAACTAAAAACGACTAAAACGCGCACCCACTTTGGTATCACAAGAATGCAAGAAGAGAGAGGCGCGAAAAATGAACCGAGCGTTAAGCCTAAGATTTCAAAAAGTTCATCAAAGTAAAGTTTTTCAAAGTAACGTTTTCATTTGCTTGGTTCTTCATTCGTCTAAATGCATGATGTTTGCGATTATTATTCAGACCCAAGAAAGGAACAGTAGTAATATCCAAGCGTGCTGTTGTATGCTCAGATACCGTCCTGGATGGAGAGATTACTATAGGCAAATTTTCCTAGATTACCTCAAATTACGCTGTTAAGATTCTTTTCGTGATAATAAATATGTTTACCTTTTTGCTTATCATTGACTAGGTTCAGGTATTTAATTATAATTGTCAACTCATAAAACTTGATGAAATCAAAAAAAAAAAAAAAGGAATTACAAATTGGCCAGCGTTTTCTAGGTACAGTTTTGCATCCACAATGCAAAATTCTGGCCGAGCAAGGCCCTGTTATCATCGGTCAAAACAACATCATTGAGGAGAAAGTGACCATAATAAATCGGTAAAAATATATTCGGCTTAATTTTGGTTTGAAATTATTTATTTTTGAATTACTGGTAATGACCATTCATTTTCTTATCCAGACAGTCGTCAGCTTTGGTTATTGGCGATGAAAATGTGTTTGAAGTTGGGTCATGTGGGTTGAGTTTCGATTTCAATCTTCGTTAATAATTTATTACCAATTCGATTAAAAAAAAATGTTTCATTTTTTTCCATCTCTTTTGGTGGTTTAAATTAGATATCGAAGGATCCAAAATTGGCAATAAAAATATAATAGAGGCTAAAGGTAAAAGATCCATTCTTTTTTACAAGAATTAAATTAATTTGATTCTTTGCTGGAAGATTTATACTTATTATGATCTAATCACAATCAGCACGGATATTGGGAACTACGTCTCTAGGAAATAATTGTGTCATTGGCGCTGTCTGTTCAACGAAAACTGATGAAAATATTCCTGATAATATAGTAATCTACGGTGATTATCATAATCGTAGAATTCATACAAATAATGCTAACGTATGTATCTTCTCACTTGACACCATCTGTCTGTATGCTTAATAAACAGTATCTATTCAGCGGTATGATGGTGATGTCAACTTAATTATCTTCTCTTATTGCCATTCTTAGATTAGCGTACATGCACGACATTTGGAATATCTACGTGATGTATGTTGTGCTTTTTATCTTTGCTTGTAAATTTCTTGAGAACTACAATTTTAACACAGATCTCGTTAAAATTTTAGGTTTTACCGAAATGCAATTATATTAAGGTAATCAACAATTTCTTATGTTGTTAATCATCAACTTGGAGTTTTTAGAAGACTCGGATTGATAGAGTTATGTGTGGATATTCATATCATATTAGTTTAGTGAAAAATCTAAAGGCGAAGGATCTGAAAGAGGAGATAAAGAAGGAGATGGGGAACGGGATCGAGAACGGGATCGAGAACGTGATCGGGAACGCGATCGGGAACGCGATCAGGAACGTAAAGAGAAACACAAAGATCGAGGAGCTTCACATCGTGACCCGCATCGGGACTCACACCGTGACTCACACCGAGATCCACATCGAGATCCACATCGAGATCCACATCGAGATCCACATCGTGAACCACATCGTGACCGTGAATCCTCAGTCAAAAAAGTACATTCATACACAAGGGATTAGCATATTTAATGGATTTACGAGATACCCTTGAAAACCAGGCATCAATAATTATATTTATTACCTTTAGATTCTAATTTATGTACATCGATTTTTGCCCATTATTAATATTAACAGGGCAAAAGCTTTTTTATTCTCTAAATCATTTAATCATAAAATTCAATTTAACATTATTATTCTAAATCTATTTACACGAATTCTAATAGCAAAGGTTTAGCTGCATGAAAGCAGAATCTAATTACATTAATAAAAAATGGCTAGTTAAAGATAAATATGACGAGTGACTTTAGCCTTGTAACGCCGCAAATAACCTAATTTCTGCCGCCACATACTCTCGTTGTTCCTTAACACGTTTCATCGCCCACTCAACACGAGCTTGATAGAAAACCCAATTCATGGAACGAAGGACAGCAAGTAAATTTTGCAGGAATTCTTCATGTTGTTCGAGCCAACTCAAATCTTTGGGATTTTTTAGCAAAAGATTCGGAAGCTCGAAACAAGCATACGATACTTTGCGTTCGACTAACATTTGTTCGGCGAGCTCTTGTTGCTTTCTTATTTGATCTTGTTCTTGTTCGGCCTTTTTGCGTAATCTTGGATCTCGATCTTTATTTATGATGTGGCGTGCTGGTTGAGTAGCTGGACGTGCATACGGATTATAATGATTAGGTTTGGTTGACTTGCATAACGAACTGTGTGATGTTTCGGGACCACGTTCTGGGCGAAGTTTTGAGAATGAAGACGGTTTCTTTAAACAGGATTTGAGTCGCTTTTCGTTATTTTCTAGAATGCCGACATTTGAGAGTAATTTACAGAGATCGGCAAAGAGGATATTGTTAGAATCGATGGATTTTTGAGTCTCCATATTAACGTAAGAAGTTTTCACAAAAATAAACTGAAAGGACTTTATCGAAACAATTGAACGTGAGGTTGTATTTATAAATCACGATGTAGGAATAAAGGAAAAAAAGGAAAAAAGACGACGATAGACCGATGTACTTTTATAAACAAGGATTCAACTTTAACAAAGATAATAGTTTAGGAAAAACAGTTGATACATGTGAGGTTTTCATTAAATATGTTAGGGAAAATTCCCAATAGAGCTATTTTGAGGAATTATGACATAAAAATAAACAAAATTAGAGAGATCTGCGAAATAAATATAGTAATCGGACTTTACTGCCCGTCGTGAGTGTGTAAACAAATGCCACATCATGTTTATTTCGACATTTAATTGGTTCATTACATCGAGAGGTCACTCCAATAACTTAACGGCTGTTATCGTTATAGTTTTAGACCATACTATGAATCAATTTATTAATTCTGTCCTCACGATCACCGAAATCTCCGCCCTCCACGTAATGCCTAAACTTCCTCGTATTCCAGCCACCGTTGGGGTTAGAGAGTTTAAAAGGCCAAAGGAAGTTGTTGGCTTGCTTGAACTATTATAAAATGTGCGATCACATTAAATGGATTAATGACCATAAACAAAGATCAAATAAATTTATAAACTTACGTTGGGTCCTACAGTGAAAATCTCATGAATCAAGTCTTCAATACAAATAATACTAAATTTTCCAAGCTCTTTTTCAATGATCGTATTCTCTGTTATGGGAATACGTTGCTTGTTGACTTTAGCATAACCACGCTTGTAGATGAGTTCACGGACGGACCTAAGGGAAAATATGGAAGTTGATTAAAAAATTAATTCACCAAATATAATGATTAAATAGATAAAAATTAGAACTTGCTTCAAATTTGGTTCACCGTAAGCGACATAAGGGGTGACTAATTGGAGCATTTGCTTCGTTGCTTTGGTCAAACGAACAAATACACCATTATTGATTTGAAGAAGACGTAAAAGTTGAAGAACCTTGCGTGGTTTTGGTGCAATTTTATTGATACTAAATTCAATAATTGATAATAATTAAGATTGCGAAGAAGTATCGTCATAAATTCAGACTAAATGCGCCAAACATCCTTTAATCTCACCCCTTAATACGAATAACAAATGCCAATTTAGGTTCCGCGGGTACATAAAAGTTGCCCGAGGCCTTGGCCATACGACGAAGACGAATCTGGTTACGCTCTTCTGCGCGATATTCTTTGACATATTTTTCAGCACGTTTAAATATCACCTTACGCTTTTGGCGGGCAGCCTAAATTCAAATTGGAACAAAAATATAAGAAATATATCATATAATACTATGTGAATTGATCTATGAATTTCGACTGGATCAGTCCCGAAAGATGGTTAATTTTGATAAATCAACATATGCCAAAATAGCTTTAGATTTTATTTGGTTTTGGAACCAATTTCATCATGTAGTCAGTCGCCAAGTTTATACTTTATTAATTATTTCTCTGGAAATTACTCGCATTGGTAAATGATAAATTTGATGATCAAACCTTTCGTTGTTCTATCCGAGCTTTGGCCTTTTCCTCTTGGATCTTGTCCTGTTGTTTCCTCTTTGCCAAGAGGGTTTCAGGTACTAGAATTTGTTCAGCGGTGGCGACAGTTCTGTAATTTAATTTTTACACAAGGCAAAACACCCCGGTCCACAGCAACACATGTAGATATGAAGAAGATTAATGCCAGGATGATACAAATTAGTCAATACTTAATTTTTTTGTACATCCGACAGATAAATTTTATTGGAGTAAGTCATAGTGTGCAATGACGTTTACAGCCAACATATCCCCGATATATACCGGGACTAACTGCACAATACAAAATGACCGTGCAGACTTTCTTAATTTTAAAGAGAGAGGACATTATATTTGTAATCAAATATGCACGTTACAAGGTCCTCAACTCTCATATCCTCGAATATTCCCCTTTCTCGTTGAGAAAAGCAGAATATCTTCAAGAGTACTATACGTAAAGTTCACCCAGTTTTTAAAACGCTTTTCTTATTAATACGTACGTTTTAGCTTTGGCCGACATTATTATGACAAGAACTAAGCTTTCCCAATGTGAAATGGAAAAAAAATTTTAAAAAAAACTTTTATCCTGAAATTTGTGACATTTAGCATAGATCAACCAATCATATCGACCCTCAACGATAGATGATATATCATAATCCTCCTTGGAACTTCTTTATCGTTTTGTCACGATCTTAAGATCGCGTCTCTGTTTTCAGGCTTTGAGAGTTTACGTGTTTTCTCTTTTTTATATAAGAAACCTCCACGACCAGATTCGCGGAAGCCAAGCTCTGTTTCACTAGAAATTGCGTGCCACAAATATTTTACATCTTATTCGTTAGATTTTACTTTGCATCATTTGAGGGCATCAGACTACTTCCTTTTTCATTTCTATGCTGTGTCTTCTAACAAGCTTGCGAAGCTTAGTTTTTGTTGAATTGAGCAACATATCTATATATTAAAAATGTCCCTCCTTTTAAGATTATTTCAAAGTGACTTTTTTAATAGTCGGATAGCCATAGCCTATTTATTTAAATATCCTGATTCGGTTGGAATTCAGCATTATTTATGCAATGAATTGAGAAAATTCCCAATGTCGGAGATTGAGTTCTTTTTGCCGCAACTTTGGTAAATAAAGATTTATGTTGTTTTACTTAAGATTATATTAGTTGCGATGATAGTATGTGCCTTTAAATTCAGAGGAATGCATCATTGAGTTCGGTTTCACATCTCAAAACAAAAAAATCCATTGACCTAATCCTTGATTTTTTCTTATCTCCATCGATTTTCGCATTAAAGCCACTTACTCATAAGTAGTACAACTGAATCGGTCGCGTTGGAATGCTTTATACTAGAGAGCTGCGAAAAATCAGCGCATATGGCAATTCTGGTATTGTGGAGTAGTTACTACTACAAGCATCCATCTCACCTATCAATCCTCTCAAAATGCGCCTAAAACCCTAATGCTTTGATCTCTTTTAGACATTATGGTATCTGCAAGCTTACCGGTCAGACTTGTCATCGAATCCCAATTCGCCCGCGTTCGCCGTATGCAAACGAGTATTGAATAAATGTCAAGCAACTGTTTTCTCCGAGAATAAGAATCCTAGTGAAGATAAAGACGTGACCAATCGTGACTGTTCTCCAAGAAAAGTACGCGAGAATACATTTCCAGCACTCGTGGGAATTGGCGCTATGCTTGCAGGGATTGCTACGCCAATGCTGATGAAAAGCACGGGTCACATTGCTATTGCGCAAGGTAGAAGACTACGGGCATCTGTTAATGGTCCGCCTGGAGGACATGTGCGGAGAAAAACTGCGACAGGTACAATGCAAATAACCAAAACGCAATCTGAGTTTTCAGCGGAGGAAATATTAAAAGGAGTTTTGCACAAAGATGATCCCCTTCCGCATGATTCTTTAACTGAGACAAAAGATGATGCATCGTTGGAGGAAGAAAATAAAGAAAATTTATCTAAAGATAGTAATACGCATGATGAAAATGTAGTGCATGAACAGGTGCTTATTCATCCAGTAAAAAAGAATAATGATTTATCTAAAGATACTCGTGCCCCACGAGGAAAGAAGGAAACTTTAGGAAAGGACCAAGCACCCAGTATTTACGTAGAAAGTGAATCTGAATCGAAAACTTCGATTGAAGTTTTCGATAACAACACTTCCTTAACCATTTCAAATGAACATTCGATTTCAATTGATGTCAATAAATCAAATACTCGAAGTTTGTCCCGTTCTTCTTTTTCATCATCTTCTCCTGATCTTCGAAGTAGCGTTACTGAAGAAGTTTTGAAATCTCCTTCATTAACAGATTTACGCCAAGGAAATACATTTTCTTCATATAAATCCGGTGTCAGCACCACAAAACCCCGACCTCAGTCTGCATCTTTTCCGACAGATAATGTCTCGACAGACGATGAACACGATATCGATTTCTCACATTTTCGTGCATCGCGTGAAGTATCAAATAAAATTTTGTTTGATGAAGTGGAAGAATATGGTACAGAGAGACAAAGACGACTTCTTAAAGGAAATTATTTTCATTCTGAGATGCAGTTCTTGTTAACATTGCAAGATATTTCGACAAGGTTGATTATTTTTCCCAGGGAAGCAAGATTAAGTACTTTAAGAGCAGAATTGACCTTACTCAATCATAACTTGCCAGCAGAAGTTTGTATACCTCTTTGGTGCCCAGCTACGTCCGAAAAACCATTTCACCACCGCGTTGTAAGAATTTCCCCTGGCGATGCGGTGGTCTTAAATTCTGCGGATAGGGTAAAATTATATCCAAGGAAATTAAGTTCTATTCAAGTAAACGATATTCTTACATAGATTAATTTTGTTGTTAGGTACCTTATTTATTAATGGTCGAGGTACTTGAGGAAGATTCGAATTTCGATATGTCAAAATTACGGACACGTCGATCTTTACATCGTTCACTTCATGAAGACAAACCTGTTGGTGAAACAGCCGAATCGCTAGTATCCGAAGACGAAACTAGTCTTCATGATGATGATGATAATAATAATAATAATAATAATAATAATAATAATAATAACAACAATGACGGGGTGACTTTGGATCATCCTACCAAGGAAAACGCGGGAACTTTTTTGGATATTGGTTTAGATAAGAAAGAAAAGAAAGGAAAATCAGTAGACGAGAAAGAAGCGTTCGAGAAAATCGAACAGCAAGAACAAGAGGAGCATAAATTGCTCCATAAAGCAATAACTGAGGTAGAAAAAGAATCTGAATTTTTATCTGATTCAGAGAGGCAAAACTCCTCTTCTCCTTCAAGCACTTTGTCATCTCCGTCAATGGCCCATCTTAAATTACCATCATCAAGATCGTCCAAAAGGGCAGAATCATTAGACAAAGCTTCAAACCTTCCGAGTTTATCATCAATTAAACATTATGATCAAAATTTTACAAAAGCTGAAGCGCCATCTAATGAAAATGATGATGATAGTGAGAAGGATAAGCCTTTTCTCCCTCCCTTTACATCTTCGACATCCTCTTTATCTGAATCCAACTCTGAATACCTTAAAGAAGTAATGAATCGTCGGCAATCCAACTCTGCCGATGAATTTGCCGAAAGAATGCGAACAGCTGCTGTAATGCTTGCTCAATTAAATACTGCGCAACAAGGGCGTACATCTACAGCTGCTGGCGCATCGAATACTACGCCAAAGACAAAGGCCGATACAGAGGCAATAAGGCAAAAAATCATCAAGGAAATGATGACATTAGAGGAAGAAAGAATGTTAAAAATGACCACTGAAGGAGTTATAAGTGGCGTAGGTGGAAATGGTGGCGAAGGTGGCGGAGGTGAAATGCTGGAAGATGAAAAGCTTGTATTGAATGCTGTTAATAAGGATGATCCTAGTGGTAGGCATATAATTGAAATAATATACCAATGGCTAAACGCATTATGAAATAAAGTAAAATGAAACTTTCAACTTAATAGTAAGTATATCATGATTTTTAGCCGCTGTATTTAGGGAAGATTGGGGAACAAAAAAGCAACGGATACGCAAAGCCTCGCCTTATGGCCATTATCCAAATTGGCGACTATTATCCGTTATTGTTAAAACAGGGGCGGACTTACGACAAGAACAGCTTGCTTGTCAATTGATCAAAGAGATGCAAAGAATATGGCAGGATGAAGGAATCAATGTTTGGGTAAAATAGTAAGTAACGTGCCGACTGCGTGCTTCTATTCTGTGAAATTTCATCATGTTGATTAATCGTTATTCTTTATCTTTATCCAGTTACCGAGTTTTAGTTACATCAGATAATTCTGGTTTAATTGAAACGATTACAAATTCAATCTCAATACATTCTATTAAAAAAGATGCTTACGCCAAGAGATTAAATGAGAAAGGGTTTATGTTTACATTATTCGATTACTTTGTAAAGGTATACTCGTCAACTCCAATACTCCTGCAAGTTACCCATTATATCAAAGGTTTTCGCCTCTATTAACAATATATCCTTTCATATATAATTTATTTCTAACCAAAAAAGACATTTGGTGATGTTTCATCTGAGGCTTTTCTTCGAGCACAAGATAACTTTATGCGCAGTCTTGCTGCTTATTCACTTGTGTCATATATTTTACAAGTGAAAGATCGGTAAACGCGCTTTCTTTTTACATTCTCTATTTCTGCTGTCTTATCACTAATTTTTGATAATTTATTAGTCACAATGGCAACGTCTTATTAGATACAGAGGGACATTTGATACGTAAGGATTATATTCAATATAAAATGCAACATAGTACAAACTAACCTCTTCTTGTCACAATAGATATAGATTTTGGTTTTATGTTATCGAATTCTCCTGGATCTGTCGGTTTTGAATTAGCCCCATTCAAATTATCGCAAGAATACTTGGACATTTTGGGAGGAGTGACAAGCGAGAAATTTAACGAATTCAAAACGCTAATGAAACAGGCGTTTATTGCTCTAAGAAAATATGCTGATAACATAGTGCTCTTAGTGGCGATGATGCAAAAAGGTATTATGTTCAATGTTAAGCACATACATTTGAAAGATTTTCTCTTAATGCCAAAATTATGATTTTTAACGAATGTTTCGATTTAATTTGCCACAAATAGACTCAAAATTACCTTGTTTTGCATATGGCGAAGACACAGTCACGCAATTAAAAAATAGGTTTCAATTATCGCTCACTGAGCCACAATTCGAAGAATTTGTTGAACGGCTAATAATGAGTAGTTGTTGTAATGTGTTTACTCGATTGTACGATACTTTTCAATATTATAGTAATGGAATATTGTAAAATCGACCCTCTTGCATATCATTATATTTATTATCAATTATGATTATTCTTGATTATTTGGTATTGTAAAATGATTCAATCAGAAATGGTTACTTTAAATGCAACATCGGAGTTATCTTAAATTAAAGCTGAATCGAAATTTCATGTGATCATGGAAGTATATCTTGATTTGAATTCCCGGACACAAGGTTTATCTTAAATATCGTCAAAAATTCTTTTTGTTTTTCAATAATGTGGAACTCGACTACAAGTCAGGCTACTGCTACAAACGACCCAAGTAAGGATCCAATTTCACAAGAAGAGGAGGAGGAGGAGGAGGAAGAAGAGGAAGAAGAAATAAACATGCAAGAACCAAATGCCTTTTCGACTTCAAGATATTATGGTAAAGACAAGCGTTATTCGCGTCAAATACCCTGAAAAGAAACTATTACTTAGTAGTTCCTAGATTCAGACAAGCTGATCTAACAGCAACCCTACGAATGCATTTTGTTATTTGTCCGTTTTCCTGTCCAGATACCGATTCTTCCAATGATTCCGGAACCGAGTCGCTTACATGGATATCGTGGTTTTGCTCTCTCACAGGGCACGATTATTTTGCAGAGGTTGCCGAAGATTTCATCGAAGATGATTTCAACTTAACAGGCCTCAATTCGATGGTACCATTTTACAAAGAGGCTTTGGAAATGATATTGGATGTAGAACCCGGTAAGAATGGCTTGATGTATACGTTTTATTGGTCTAGTTGATTTTTCTAGCCAGTACAGGTATCTTTTTTTTTTGGTTTGGTCTTTCCTTCGCTGGATAATTATTTCTGTGGATTACTATTTAAAAAGCTCATAAAATGAGGCAGGGAAGGGGAAGAGGACGAATAGGTTCGTTAAGATTTTGGGATTATCAAGAGTGTGTATTTGTGTGCGAGCGTGTGTGTACAAAGAAGATATTATTTATTCTTCAACCTTCCTATCTTTTTTTCTTCCTATTTTTATCATCGATTTCTCAAAAAAGATACCATGCGCGAATCTATCAAATATATATGCGTTAAAATATGCGTTAATACTCAAACTAACGCTATTCTTAATTTGATCTTATTTCGTCCTAAGAAGAAGAGACGCCGAAAGTCCCGGACGTATCGATTGTTGAGAGTTCAGCTGAACTACTTTATGGACTTATACATCAACGCTATATTATAACACGTCAGGGATTGCAACAGATGGTAAAGTGAAGTTTCCGCATTAATTATACTTAAATTCGTTTAATAAAAAGTATGAGTTTTTGATTTACATTATATTTTAGGTTGAAAAGTACGAGTCATCTCATTTTGGTACTTGCCCAAGATACCATTGTCAAATGTGTCCTGTAGTTCCGTGTGGTCAGAACGATATACCATCAGTAGAGACCGTTAAATTATTTTGCCCTAATTGTCTTGATCTGTATACACCCCCAAGCTCACGATATCATAATATTGACGGTAATGTATATTTTTATAATTCATTTTATTAACACTTGAATAATAATTTTCGTCTTCCCATTTAGGTGCCTATTTCGGGACAACGTTTCCGCATCTTCTTTTCCAGCTGTACCCTGATTTGCTACCGAGAACGCCGAATATTATATATGAACCAAGAATTTTCGGATTTAAGGTTAATGAAGCGAGCCGTAGTGGACCAAGAATGCAATGGTTGAGAATGCGTCCAAACGAAAATGAGAATAACGATGATCCAGGCCCCGATTCAGAACTGGAAGGTGGGGATGATGAAGGTGGAAATGATCCTCATTTCTTCAATCAAGGCGAAAATAATGGAACACAATCACAATTTCCGTCACGTGATGGTGGTTTTAGGCAGGACAAGCCATTTAATACAGACATTGGCAATAAAGGTGGTAATAATAATAATAATAATAATGGCGGGGTTCAAGAAAACCCTGATGGAAAGAGAAGTGGGAGAGGATTACATGTAGCTAGGAAGATTATTATTCCTCGGGATCAGTCAGTCAATCGCTTAAAAGAGTGCGTTTCCAGTAATTCAGAAGGAAATTTTACGATGGCCCCATTAGCAAAGTTAATTCCTTTTTTAATGTCACCACCAATTCCTACTACTCCCACGTCTCCTACATCACCTACTACTGTCCCTAGTCCAACGGAATCAACTATATCTTTGGCGTCAATATCCACCGATATAACTGCGTCTTGCCAGCAAACAGTGCCACCACCACCTCTGTCACCTTCATCGATCACATCGACATCTTCGTCATCCTCATCGTCGCTACAGTCATTGCTGGAGAAATTGCCGGCGAGTAGTTATCTAAGTGGCAACTCCTTTAGCGTATATGCTTCATATTTCTCCCAGGGAGAGAAACAAACAACTCGGGAAGTGGCGAATGAAGTATCGAAAGAGACTGTCGGCGGGGCGGAAGAAATTAAAAGGAATGAAACTTCATCAGAACGAAGAGTAGGTGGACCTAGGATAATGGGTCTTGGACTTGCTAGTGTGACAGAAATGGGCAGGGACTTTTATGATAAGTGGACAGCTGGGACTAATAGTAAATCAGGTACTAATGCTGCTACTTCTAATAACAATGATAAGAAAAAACTAGAGACTCGTGAGGTTCTGTAAATATTAATTCGAGTCAGATATTTTGGATGGATGTTTCATACATATGCTTACTTGCGATTGATAAGTTGCCGATTATGGTCGACGACCGGCTGAAAATCTTTAGAGATTTGTGCATCGAAAAAAATAATGACGTTGACGCGGCATAACAATTTTAAGGGGAACTTGTCAGTTTGCTCTCTTTTTGAGTCTTTGAATATATGAATAGGAATTGCATGGGACGCCATCACCTCTTCGATTTTTATTAGAGAACCGCTCGTTTGTTTGATTTTGATATATCATCTTTTTCCTTCTACCTGAACTCGTATATATGTGCACATATTCACAAGCAAAAACAATCCCGACTCATTCTTTTTTTCTTTTCACTTTAAACCTTGTTAGCCAGTTAAGCGTATATTTAATAAAAAATTCCTTAATATTTGATTCCTTTATGTAATTTTTCTCCCTTTTTTTATTGCATTTATTCATTTCAAGAATGTCGTCATCATCAGATTATAATAATAAAATAATAATCATAATTCATGGAATTTTTATTCATGTTAGCTGATTTAATAACGATAATTTTTCCGCAATAAAAAAGTTGATCAAAATAGTAAAACAATATGATGATGATGATGACATTTAAGGAATGGGATAGCTACAAACGACGTAAACACGGCAAATTTTGGTTACTTCACCTTAATATATTGTCACTCTAGAATAGCACTAGTATTACTGCATTAGAAAGTTGTACCAAATCATCATAGAAAAAATAATTTAGCATTAGCGGGATCCATTCATACTAGCCATTTCTGTTAAAAGTTCATACAGAAATCATGTGTAATATGATTCTGGACTTTCAGGACAAAAAAATACACAATACAAAGCCAAGACCTTATTTTTGTTTTGTGCATACATGCACCTGCGTGCATGTATGCGCATTTGATTCCCCAAAGAACACACTTAATCGAGGTCACAAAAAATGATTATATTTTTGGCTTCGTACTTAAAATTTTGACTTAATTCTGGCCAAAATTAAGTGACAAATTTGAAACCTTCTTAACGTTAAGAAAACGGATCAATTTAAAACTGTGCAAGAGATGAGCTAATGAAAAACGCTATCTATTATTATAGAGCTTATCAAAAGCTATTGAAAAATGAAGCTATTTTCTCTCTATCTGAAGTTATTAGCGTTAAAGTTAAAATTGGTTACCTTTAGATTTGCTGCATCATACCCATTTCCGCGCATTGTATTTTGTATTTGTTTTATACTTGTTAAGATACAAATATAAATTAATCCACCAGATCAACAATATCTCAGATTCCATCAATATCGTTGATTTTTCCTATCGCTCGATCATAAGTTTAGTAAATTATTCGAAAAACAAACTTGCAATATAAAATAATCAGCAAACTTGTGGCATCCCATAAAAGACCATAAAACATCTCAGCAGAAACTTTGGAGATCAATGATAATCCCCATATAAATTTAACCCCGGATCCAACTTTATCATTGTTTTCCAGCCTCACCTTGAAATAACATGCTATCTTTTATTGCCGTCAAAAATTATCAATTTCTAGTTTCGGGGCCTTCATCATTTATGAAATATCAATCTATGAAATACAGAATTTACGAAAATTATTCCTGGACCTGGAACAGGAATTAGTAAGGTAATTGCGCAAGTAAAAAATGCTAAAAGATTATTATTTGAAAAGAGCGCTTGTGAAGATAAAAAACCCAAATTTAGATTGTTGCATTAATAATTCCACGTTACGTTATGATGATCATCTTTTGACTTTATCTGAAACATATCAATACCAATGGTGAAAAAATACTATTGCGACTACTGTGATCGATCTTTCCCAGACAACGCTGGTGCCCGAAAAAAGCATTTGGATGGCGCTCAACATCAACTTGCCGTGAAATTACACTATGACCTATTTCGAAACCCCGTGGAGTTACTGCTGGAGAATGCGAAACGGCCAGCATGTCGAAAATTTCAAGATACCGGTTATTGTCAGTTTGGTTTAAGTTGTCGGTATTCGCATGTTATTAGTGGAATTGATTTCTCGCAAGTTGATCCTACAATTTATCTATCTCAGAATTTACATTTACTGAATGAACAACAAAAGACGTTATTCTTGAGGTTTGTGGGAGGAACAGGAGGGGGAGGCTCAAGTCAGAATTCTCAAGTACAATATAGTCAAACGCAACGTCAGCAACAGCCATTCGCTGTGCGTAATCAACAATCTCAACTTCCAATTACCCGATACAAACTTCCACCTGGATTGCCAAAAGATTTGCCTCCTTCTTTGAGATTGCCCCCACTTTTGGGTTATGATTTTTCACGCGCCGCTCAATGGGGTTGATCCTTTTATCTTGATTTTGAATCATACAATGAAACTCGTTTATTTCGGACAAGAATCATTTTTCATAATTTATTAAAGTAAAAATATCCATATCATAATGAATCATCAATAATCCTAATTCTTATATCTTTGTATGAACATATTTACACTAAAGTACAAGAAAGAATCAGTCATATAACATGATAATGAATTTGAACGTAATTGAGTAGGAATAATTCATAATATATTTTTAATCGAATAATTTTTCGGATAATGAATTTTTCATGAACACTAATAGTAATGTGTTATTAACAAATATAATAAAATCTAATCCTAAAGTTATTTTTAATATAAGCACAGTAAGGATAAATAAAAACACAAAAATTTACAAAAAAAATAAATAATGAAAAGGAAAGAAACAATAAAATATTCTCTCTCTCTCTCTCTCTGTATATGTGGGTGTGGGTGTGTGCGCGTGTGTGTGACGAGTAATGTAAATACTATATATTCTATGGTGAATTCATAGATTCTTCCACTCTAGTAGTATCAGATGAACCATTTGATGAAATGTCGTCGGCATTGTACTCAACAACATCTTCTGGGACATTAGTAGTTGACGCGCCTGAAGTTGTTGTAGCGTCAATCGCTGTATTCTCTGCCAATTCAGAGTTTGGATCATTATTACTTTCTCCCGATTTCTCTTCATCCTCTATTTTTTCAACATCATCACCAACTAAGCTACTTGATTCTGATTGTTCTGAGATATTATTATTGTTACCGTTCTCGACTTCCTCCAATGATTCTTGTATCGTTTTCATCATTGCATCAACAATAGCTTCACCCCTAAGACCACTTTCTTCACTATCAACGCTACCACCGCCACCTTCACTTGGTACGACTGAATATCCGCTCATCGATGACATTGGTCTCGTTAATTCATTACCAGAACCAATTGACCCAATTCCAGCACCATCTCGATAATTCGCACTAACAGCCTGCGCTATTACATCAACTTTTACTTCGGTTTTACTCAAGGGCGAACTCAGCGTGACTAATCCCTTGATAACTCCTCTTTTCCGTGGATGAAAACAGATTGGCAGCGTGATTGTTGCACCTGGTTTAATGATTAAACTCGACAGCGGGATTGATAGAACAGGCGGGCCAAGTAAGGTTGCTCCCATGACCTCACATTTACATTTAATTCGTATTGTTTCTTTTGTTGGATTCTCAATTTTAATTCCTAAGGTTCGTTGCTTTCCGATCCTTGTCATTGGGATGCGTATTTCTTTTTCGGATACTTCAAACTTGACTTCTTTTTTTGCCGAGTCTTTACGTTGGCTTGCAGCTGGCCATCCATTTCCTTCGATTTGTAATTCCACCGTTTCACCTTCCCCAATATCGGTTGTTTCTGATTCACCCAATGCAAAACTCTGAGTGTAAATTCCAACGGCCGATGGAGTGAAATTTATATAAACTCGTTCCGATTGACCAGATTTTAGAAATCCATGTTGCTTCATCACTGTGAACACGTTATCATTAATTTTTTGTCCTAACGTATTCGATTTCGACTCCACTCGTTTATAATAGGTTGGGGATTTGGGTGTCAGGCTCCATGAGATTGAATTTGAAGTTGGATTATAAATATGAAATACGCCGCGTGTTGTCTCTTTTAATCGCGTCGAGGGGACACCCACGATCGCCGGAATTCCGATATATATCAGATTTTTACGTTGTGCTAATTCTTTTAATTGTTTAACATCGTCATTTGGTGAACCTGGCCTTGCAAGTAATTCTGCTGTCGTCATTCGATTGGGCCCAAGCGTACTGGCTCGTGATGATGGTCTTGATGGAGTCATTGATGAAGAAGTTCTTGATCCAGCTCGTGAAGCTGTTCTTGAGTTGGCACGAGATGGTGCACGCGAACTTTGCGGTGCTGGAGATGTTCTTGCTGTTGTTGTAGGTGAAATCATGGAAAACGGTTCCTCTACATATCTATCTACTTCATCTTTTAATATTAACTTATTCTTTGATGATAATGAATTCTCGACGGGACTATTACTTTTACTGTTATCACTGTCGCCATTACTCTCCTCACTAATCTTGCTGCTATTGCTGCTGTTGCTGCTGTTACTTTTTGAAATGTTTTTTTTATTATTAATTAAATGCTTTTTTTGACTACTTTTATTATTCATTTTATTCTCAATACCAAATTCATCTTCCTCCATGATCGTGTTCATCGTCATCATTTTTATTCAGCAGCCAAAAAAATCAGTCAATCTATGATTTTCTTTCTCTCGTCGCTAAATTTATAAGAATGGAAGGGAGATAATGATCAAAAACCTTCTCATTGTTGTGTTTAAGAGTTGAGAATATTAAAACCGTTACCAATTTCGTCCGGAAAAATATATTCTATATTATCGTAATAGGGTATATTTTGATTAATAAGGCTTTTGTGTGTATTGTCGTCGGGGCGGTTGTTTAGGTTTTGAGATTATTGCTATTATTACGACCAATTATTTTATTATTGAATAGTAAGTAAAAAAAAAAAAAAAAAAAAAAAAAAAAAAAATAGTATAAATTCTTAAACAATGATGACAGTGATGTTAAGTATTTACCAATAACAACAATAATGTGTGGCGGATGATGTTTTATAAACCTAAATGTTAAGGGAAAAAAAAAACCAACTGACTGATTTGACCAGCAAAAAAGCAACACTTTTAAAGGACAATGAATGGTATTGTTTTCTTAGTATTTAGGAAGGAAAAAAAGGAGGTTAAATTCACGAATATATACATATCGACATTCACTTCTCGATGTGCGTTCACTGTACGTGCGCATTAATTCTATGTATTTATTTATATTGGATATATTAGTTGTCCGACGTATAACTATCATTTATTCTCATTCAGGGAAGTGATCATTATGATTGTTATTGTTATTTTTTTTTTCGTTATAAAACCTGTTGATGCATTTTCTCCTAGCCTAAATCATTACAGATCAGTTGTTGTGCACTTGACATCCTTATGAGAATGCATGTGAACAACCATAATAATTTCGTGCTAGGTCTGTGTACACCGTATCATTACATATATGGTATATGCTGATCACCCGGTGTATCGTTATTTCCGTAAGGGTAATGATCATTTTTTTGTTTGGAGTTGATCAATGATGCATTCAAGCTGTATTATTTGTTATTTACATACAGTATTTTCACCGCCGTGTGATCGTCAGGGTAATATATAAGATGATTAAAACACAAAGACGATTGAAGACTAAAAGACGAAAAGACAAAAAAGACGAAACGAGAATGATATCGATAAAGTAATACTCGTATAATTGTATGACCGTTTATCGTGCTGATTATTATTATTAGATGCATAGATTTTCCGATTCTGTCTGTGCACATTTACTTTTATTGACCAAGGTCAAGTGCTTCTCACCACGTGATTCTTGGTTTCACCAATAGGCAATGGCAGTACTGCAAAACAAACAACAAACTTTCTTTACTCGAATAATAATAATAATAAATAATAATAATACATTTTTATTTTTTGGGCAGTAACAAAAAAAGATTCAGGGAACATGGCAAATAACGATGAAGAGAGACCAAAGGAGATACTTCCGCCTGATTGTCTCTATGAAATATTTAAGAAACTTGAAGACGACAAACAAACACTTTTTCGATGCATGCTGGGGAATCGTGAATGGTGCTGTCAGATCGTTCCAATTCTTTGGAGCTATCCATTTAGGTCTTTGTCTTCTGAATCACAAATTTTAATCGTTCCTTCATTCATAAATTGTCTGAATGAGCAAGAAAAGATCTCCTTGGTAAATCTGGGCATTCCATTAAAAGCATCAAAAAGATCGCGTCCGGTCTTTGAATACAGCACCTTCATCAAAGAAATTGACGTCGAGAAACTAGAGAATTCCGTGGAAAAATGGCTAAAGTTATCTTTTACGCGAGAGCCTGAAGCTGGTTTATGGAACAAAGTCATCTCTGTATCAAAGAAATTCTTTCAATTGATCTTCCGTACTTCAACGGCCTTCGAAAATCTCCACATTGAGAAGACCAAAGTCATTTCATACATTCCTGATTTCACGATGTTTCCAAATGCGCCAAAAGCACTAGCTCACTTGAAAAAATTCAAGTATTGCGGGTGGCAGGGAAATTATTTACACAAAGATCTATCGAATGTGACGGAGCTACTCACCGCAATGAAATTAATGACCCGAGATCTGGAATCGATAGAAGTCGATTTTCAAAACATCAACAATATAAATGCTCAAAAATTAACCGATCTTGTTAGCTTACAAAATTCGCTCCAATATTTCAAATTTATTAATCTACTTGATCAATATGGGGAAATTCTGATGCCGGGATTGAGAGAGAAGCAAGGGAAAAATATTAAAACATTATTCTTTGATTCATTGCATTTTTACGTAGAAGAATCAACGTATCTTGAACACTTGGAGTATTTCAACGTGCTCGAAACGCTTATTTTCGAAGATTGTCAAGCTGATGTGGAATCCGATATTGAATCATATGAATGGTGGATGTCGCTCGCAAGAGGGCCAATGTCATTGAAACGGCTTTACTTTAATGTGAAACATTTGAATGGACAAGTTTTGATTCCAATTATTTCTCATACCAAAGGAAACTTGCAAGAATTAATAATTCGACAAGAATGTTCCGCTAGCTTATTCAATTCAATTAACGAGACAAGTCGTAATATTGTCTCGTTATCTGTGGTGATTGATGGCTCGGCTGTTAATTCCCTGCTGAATGCATTGGTCGGGCTGAGACAACTTGAACAACTCATAATTCGACAATCGCTTGATGGTGGAACCCCAATCTCTCTGGAAATTTGGCCTAAATTAGCGAGGATTTTGCCCAAAAGTCTGAATTATTTCTTGGTCGATTTCAATGAGTTCAGCGCAGACTCGTTAGCTATCTTCTTACAGACACGAGAAACACCAATTCGACAAATTGGATTTGGTAATGCTGATGTGTTTGGGAGTGGACATTTGGTCGTGATAATTTACTACGCGAGAGAGAAATCTATTGTGCGGAAAGTTGGCTTTAGCACGCGTTCCCATCGTTTTCAATATTCTCATTTTAATCGCGAGATCTTGTCGAAAGCCAAAGAATACATTGAATTCGTTGACATTATTGAATTTGACAGAGATCCGAATTCCTTGGGAATGAGATTCTAAGGTATTATTTATTCATTGAGAAGGTATCTCCTTGGACTTTTTATCAAAAAAAGCTGCGCCAATGTATAAAATTTGACCACTTCTGTATTAATTCCATAATTCGGGTCGAAATTATCCCTACAAATATCGATGTGAGCATTTTTTTTCCGCAGTACAAAGGCCGAAAATTTTTAATTTAAGTAAAAGGTGTCTGTCATTGATCAATTATTTCGAATAAAAATTATTTAAATACGATGTATATACAATTATACAATTCCTTAGGAAAAGATGCGTTTTTAATCTTTATGAAGTGAAATTAGTTGCTAAGTTTGTCCAAATCTCCAATCATTTGATCGTTAAGATTACAATAAATTCCTATCATATATTTTAATGCCGGCCAGCGTTAAAAGAAATAACAAATACCGGGCCGGTTTGCTAACGACGGACCAAGTTTGTTTGCATAATATCAGACAAATCGGATTGTAGCGGTGGAACCGGTTAATTATTAACCGAAGCCGACGGTTAAACAGTTAAACCGCGGTTTTCAAGTAAGTTTGTAGATCATGCACAAGTATAAAATCGGCCTAAGAAAGTTCTTGAGGGGATCTTCGATCTCCTTTTCGAAAAAAATAAACGTTACATAATGATCTTGCGATTTGATTGGTTTACACTTAAAAATCACATGATCCGATACTTTTTTTCGCCGTGGCTAGGGTACTTTCATGTAACGGTGGATCAACGGTTAACTGGTGTCATTAACTGATGATATTAACGGTTGGTCAACCGGTGAAGAGTTTGTTGGACGGTTCAGTCATTATTTTTGATGAAATTTGATACAAATTAAATCATCTCCTGTCTTGATTTCTCGTTTAATTTCGTTCTTTTTACGAATATGCATGTACTTTACTATTGAAACTATAAAGTCCCTTATCATAGAGAGATAGTCAAGTAAATGATTTTTGAATTAACTTCTTGATGCAGTAAAATATTTCGTCCGATTTTGTTCGTGCGTGAAGAAAAAGCGAAACAGGCAAAACTTGCAGACGTTTCAATAATGGAATCTCTTTTGTCAACAGTTTTTATATGTAAAACAAAAGTGATTTCTTTCTTTGGATCCAATGCTCTCTATTTATACAGTTGGAATCCCCCAATATCAGTAAGAAGTAGTCTAAAGTAATACAAATTTCGACAATTATGGCTGTAAAAACAGACAAAATCATTATCATCCTAGAAAGTATTTCCGTTAATTATCGATCAAAGTTATATATAGAAGAATAATTAAAAATACTTTTCTGTTTGATTATTTCAAATTACTTTCCAACTTGCATAATATTAAACTTTATCCATATGTCATGCATAATTAATTTTCTAATTCAAATATTTTCCTGATTTGGAAATTGACAATAAAAAGTTATAATACGAATTAAAAATTGTTGAAAAATTCTCTTTATGGATTCATCCGTTTAAAATACCAAAAATTGTAAAATGTATATTTTTGTTCACCTAATTAATTTGCAATGAGTCTTCATACTCTATTATGTATTAGTGTTCGATAAATTAATCACAAATGTGACACCGTGCTATTTGTGGAGAATATATTTATAGAACAGATGTAATATAGGTTTGTGAAATCGTTTCGGGTGATCAATTGATCAGGTGAGTTTCCCAATTATTAATTTCCACGGTTATTTTCGTTATTCGTGTTCCTGTTACATCCACAACGAAACTTTATAATTCCAACTTTCCCAAAATCATTTGTGACCCAACTCACGAAACCAGTGACTTCAAACTCCGTACGGCAGCAAATATTTGGATAATAATATTATACTTTATTCTCATTATCTCTTCTTATCGAATAAGAATATTTATTTGATGGTCTAACGTAAAAGTTACAACATACCATTAATAAACAAATGAACTTAATGACGTGATTATACGAATTTTATTCGGACATTATCTTTCGTAAGGTTAAATTTTATACGCAATTTAAGAGGACAAAAATTGGTTACATGTATTTCAAACAGAAAATGACATTTGCTTGACCTTAAATATTTCGAGAAACAATTTAACAGCATAAAATTTCATGGAATTGAAATAATTTTAAGTTTTGGCTAAAAGCATAGAATAAATTTTTAAGCATAATTGTTTTTAATTTTATAATATTTTATGTTAATTTAAGACAGAATCGTTGAATTTGATATTCGTAGATTTAAGAGGACAAAAATCGGTTACATGTATTTCAAACAAAGAAAATATCTTTTTACATTTGCTTGACCTTAAATATTTCGAGAAACAATTTAACAGCATAAAATTTCATGGAATTGAAATAAGTTTAAGATTTGGCTAAAAGCATAGAATAAATTTTTAAGCATAATTGTTTTTAATTTTATAATATTTAATGTTAATTTAAGACAGAATCGTTGAATTTGATATTTGTATAATTTTTTGCCTTTGGCAGAAGATATGATAAGTAAACATATAAGACAATAGTAGAAAAAATGAATAAAATTTAACCGGCTCAAGAAAAGTCTCTCTTTTGATTTAAAGCGATTTTTAAACAACGTGAAAGTTAAACAAAAGGACTTTTTTTGCGTCTGCGATTGTACGATAAGGATTATGTTGCAAATATTTATGCCAGTTTTGCATCGCTCGATGGTATTGTAACCTATTTGATGGACGCCAACGTTCTTGAGGAATTTGCGTCGTGATCTGGCTTGAAATTTTGAGATGATCGGTGGATGGCGTGAGATCGTTACTTTCAATAGTTTTATCTGTAAAAATATTCCTAAGCTCGGAATCACTATCGATTCCGGTAGTGTAATTTTGACTTCCAGTCGTAGCGTTGAAAAATGCATCCACACTTGAGTCTATTGGACTCAATAATAGGGAAGAAGACAAACTATTTTCTGCGACTAACCATTCTGTTTCAGAGAACCAATCATTCGTCACAAATTCTGAGGAGTCCTGTGACGTTGGCGAAGTTTGCGATATTTGTTGTGAAAGTGGCTGTTGTTGATGTCGTAAAGGGATGGCATATGGTGTTCCAGTCAATGCTTGTGATTGATTGGTGAGACGTTTGATATTTCTATATCTTCGTTTTGGCCACATTTCTTTATATAATCTCTTTGCTTCTTTTGCTAAATCCTTATAATATGAGACTACATTTTCTGGCTCGCTTTTCCATGCTTCAGAGATAAGGGGAGAAATTCGTGTCATTTGAAGGTTATATCCTCGGGCATGAAGTTCTTTAACTGCCGCTCCACGATAGATGATCCATGCATTTGGAGGTTTAGAAGGAACCTCACCATTTTGTTTGATTCTGACCAATTCTTGGAGATTTATGGAAGGCGGAAAGGTCGGCTTGACATTTTCAAGTGAAGGGACGACTTTAGCATTCATTATATTTGTACTTGGCGTTAGAGAAGGATGTGAAAAGAATGAAGATGTATCTTCTTCACTTGGGGTCCTGAATGAGGATGAATTGGCGGCGTTATTTATAGGAGCGGTCTGTTCAATTACTGAAGATTGAACGGTAGACATTAGTTGTTTTTTTTGAGCGCAAGAAATTTTCTAGTGCGAAATTTTTCTTGTTTAAATAGAAGATTTTGAATCAGATCAATTTTTAATATTTTTCACTTGTATGTTAATTACGTTAATTCCACTAATGCTTGATAAGCAACCGGCAGCGGCAGACAAGAATGCGTCAACGCGGTTTATAAAAAGAATTTATTGATCTGTCTCACATGATCTTAGAATGGTTAATTTATACATACACTTAAAGATAAAATATGCAATTATTTTTTGTTTTCGAAAAATGTTCGTTCGCGACATTTGTGATACTCAGGCTATTTTTTTATTCTTAAGTATTATTCAAAGTTTATATAACTTCATTATTGATTTTTAAATATTTTGATACAAACATTTTTGTAGATCCTTTGTGTTCAACACAGTTCATTGTTCAATGAAATTATTATTTACGAATTTGGATACCCGAATAATGGCGGTGGCTCGGTCAAAAGGTGGCTAATGATGATGCTATTCATAACAACGAGATAGAAAACTTAAAAATACTCGGAGCGCCCGACTTTCTCATGACCCAAATTCTCATACGCATTTGGGAAACAGGAAATATCACGTCAAATTATTAATTTTTCAGTGCACATTATGCCATGCATATAACGGAATAGGAAAATCCCACTTTATGACTCAACTAAGAATCAATCAAAAAATTATTTGCAAAAATACACGTTAATATTATTGAAAAAAAAAAATATTTTTACTAGGTATGGTTAACTTGGATTCGCCATTTACAACTTTTTGTAATTATTAATTTTCCCCGAAGATTTGATTGAACAATGGAAAATCTCACCGCTGATAAAGTTAGGATTAGATCAGGGTTAGAGTTCAAGAACCGTATTTAATATTTTCATCCGATCATTTTTTTTACTATTCTTTGTATCGGATTTGTTTGCTAATAATTTGTTGGTAGGCAATATTAATTTTTCATTGTCCAATCAAAGCTTGTGAGAAATTAGTTCTTTTTTTCCTTTTTACAGACACGATTTTCAAAATAAACTGGGTAATCGGTTATCGATAGGATAGGACGTGTTAATCAAAAAAAATTAACCTTCCAAATAAGCTATACATGTATTGCAAAAAATGTACCACACACTAGCCACGGAAAATGCCTCATATGGAAAACATTGAATCATTTCGAGTGCATTTACGATTTTACTTAACGTTAATTCTAAGATATTATTTTCCAACTAAGGATGTATGTATTCTTAATTTGACAAGATCCCACCAATAAAATGTAGGAATTAAAAAATTTTTAAAAAATTCATCCCGATAGGTTCAAGAAAACAACTATAAAAACTCAACTAGCATAAAGCATTGTCTTTGGTAATATCTGCAAGAAAAGCATGTATTTAAATTTATAATTTAACAGCTAGTCTGCTCGATAAAGAAAATTTCAAGGCCACTTTCTTGAATTTAATAAATTGTTATTGGTCTTTGGATTTTTTAATTCGATATTATTTTTCTGCCACGTCTGTTTTTGTTTAGATCTAATACACAAGGCGTAAAATCTAAAATTTAACTTATATTAATTTTCTATATCAATCATTGATAAACCTTCTAATTAAGTTACTGAGGGCGCGAGAGATACAGCCAACAATAATTATGCAAGGCACGCAGAAAGTGTGTTTAGAGCCTCTTATATGTTTTAGTGCGACTCCCGTTCATTAATTTTAATATATTTGAACAATAAAAATTTGTTTTTTCTTTCTTCCTTAAGCATATGAGCATAAAGTCTCGTTGTCTCCCCTCAAACTTTTCAAACACTCAATCAATTTTGGAAGCGAAAATAAAAATTCGATCTAGAGATGAAACTTTTCCGAAACTTGATTTAGAATTTTTGCCGTTTCAACGAACAATCTATTTATATCTTTACAGTATACCAACAATGATATATATTCTAAATATACCCTTTGGCTTTCTGTAGACTAATTAACCCGATGAATAAACTCCAGTTCTCAAATAAAAAAATTAATCTAACGACAAATCTGACGTAAGGTTGTACAAATCGTCCCTCTTTATAAAGAACACGCTTTACAAAGAACACATTATTTCCTATAGTAACATCAACCGTTGGTGCAAGTTATTAACGACTTAAAAAGAACAACCTCACTATAAGAACTTTTTGACAAATTTCGAAGATCGTATGTAAGAAATATGCATTAAATTCAAAACAAAGGATAAGGATAAATTTTATAGCGATGGACAATGGGAGAAAATTTAAATATGGAAAGTTCAAGACAGCTAACTTACTTATATATCTAAGGTTGCTTGTGTAAAACTCCGCCCGATTGATTTTGGAGGAATGCATCTACGTACCAATTAGGAAATATGCGATTATCAATACCTCATTTGAAATGTATTTAACATTGTCTGGTTAATGATTTATAAGGTCAGGGTGTTAGGATTAGGAGCAGGATTAAGCAAGATTATATGGGAAAAACTGTCTTCCCGATATTTTTAATTAGTATTCCAAGAAAATATTTAGACATTAGTTTTCTCGAAATATTCGCATTTTTAACATTCTTTGTTTTGTTTCATTCTTATTGGTGATCGACAAATTTTGTTCATTCTTATTGGATGGATTACATATTTCCAAATTGGGTGCGGGTTTCGGGTTTATTTGTTGGTTACATACGTGTTATCGTAGTACCCGATTCAATGGCCGTTTTGCTCGAAATAACAAAACACGTATATGTACGTGTATAACGATAAAAATGTTTTTTTCGAAGTTAAAAGCCAGTGATCACTCATATTAGTCCGGCGTCAAAAATAAGTTTTACTTTTTATATAATTGGTTTTTGAATCTTTGATTCTCTTATGCAATTAAAAAAAATAAAAAAAGATTAATGCAAGATTAGAGATTTACATATCACAAACGTTTAATTGTCTTTAACTTTTGGAAGTTTGTTTTAGAGTAGATTTTCTATTTCTAAAGACACTTCTATCACTAGTTAAACAGCGTTTTAAAGAAATTTATTTCTAACTTCATATAATAAATACCATGCGAGCTAAAAATATTACTGTGCGAGAATGTGAAAAAATATAAAACATAATTGTGTTCTGAAGCACAGTATCCTCAAAACGTATTGGTCGGTTCAACAATATATAATAAAACATAAAAAATGAAAATTTTCAAGCAATATACATATTCATAAATGTTATATCATTTTTAAAGCTCGTGAATTAATATTTCTAACAATTTAAAACGCAAAATACCGTTTTTTGATGGTAAAGTAAAAATTTTTTTTCTCACGCTTTATAACGAACTCTTGATATAACGGAACTTAAAATTTTTAAATTTTATTATTAGTTCGTTATAGAAAGAGCGGGCATTATAGAAAATATAGTAATTTATATAACGAACTCCTTTATTTTAACAGAACCATCAGTTCGCTATATAAAGAGTTGACTGTATATGATAAAATTTTCCACGCTTTTTACATATAAAAATGGAAATTTTCATATACATATTTCTTTTTAGTAATTATTTCTAACTTTTATACCATTTTAATTCTAGTTTTCAACAAAATGATTCCCATCTGTGAGAGACTTGAGATGCAAGATCAAAATTTTAAAAATAAAATGGAAAAATTTATGTGTTTTACTATATAATTTCAAACTGGGAGATACCTTTTGAGGATACTGAACATATCTCAAATGGACTTTAAACACGGACTCGCTTTAATATGTTTTTCATATTAAATACTTTCAAAATTGAAATGTTTTATCTTTGGGATAAAGAAAATTGATGTATAGATTAATTAATAGATTGCCATAAATTATTTCTAAATGAATCAGACATGAGGTAAGTATTCAACTACAGTATCTATTTCTCAAGCTGAGTTGTAAACCGTATTATTAAATTTTATTTCCAGCCAGAATTATGATTCACTCTCTATAAATTCGAAAATTTTAAACTCTAGTGCGAACATTTAGTGTGAACGCGTTTAAATTCGCACCTTGAACTAATGTAATTCGTTGGAGTCGCTTTAACGTGATATAGAGCCAACGAAATTAACAAGATGAGAATTTCTTTCTTGATTAATTTGACCAATAATTTAATAATCTCTCTCTAAATTGATTTATTTTTGAGTTTATGCTAAGGTTCTATTGAACTTTTCGACTTATTTTTGAGATCAACTAAAAAATAATTTAATTAATTTATAAGTTTAAATTTATGAAGTTAATTAAAACATTGCTTGACAAATTCTTTTTCTTAACACGATTAAATTCGTAGCTGCATTCTTTTGAAACATTAATTTTTTAATTTACCAGTAGAAACTTTCCTCAAGATTGAGGTTTTTTTGTAAATTAAAATTGATCAGAGCCAACATTTATATTGCATAATATTACATATATGGGTACAGTAAATAATTAACCAATCTGCATTTCGAATTTTAAAACGTGTTCATCATCATAATAATTTTGTGAATGATATCTCTTTTTGTACATGAATACTTAATATAAAGTACTGAGCTTTACAGATTATTAAAGGCACGCATAAATAGATTATAAATATTTAAATATATCCGAACTTGCATTATAACTGTAATTACTTAATGCGTAAAAACAATCATTTAAACTTTATCAGAGCACAGCCAAAAGAGCATGCGCCAACGCTCGTAACTTTAGATAACACATTCTCAATGAACATTGTACCAATACGCCAATTTTTAGACCCCACGTGAGTTATCTTATGCACACGTTTCATATTTTCAACCAATTATGTATCTTTGTTCTTATCTTATGTGTATTAATAATTAAAAAAAAAAAAACAGGAAAATCAGTTCTATTAATGCCATTTATTGTTATATCAATTTGAAATACGAAATTTTATGTTGTTTTGTCACAGTGATAAAGAAAATTTGCTTCCTAATATATACTGTTAAAACTATTTGAATGCATCTAAATGTAGACATTATGGAGAAATTATAGATCTAATAAATATTATATCCTATCAC